GCCTCCCAAAGAGTTAGGATTGCAGGCATGAGCCACCATGCCTGGCCATCTTAAGTGTTTTATTGTAGTTCTGAGACACAAGGAAAGGGATTCCTAGTTCATAGCAACTCCTCTTAAAATCCTTTCCCATCCCATCTGCTTCCTCCGGCGCCACTCCCATGCCTCTGTCCAAAATGCCCCAGACATCCTTTCCTCCAGCCTCAGCAGGCTGTATCCTGCTCTCTCATTCCCCTTCCTTCTTATCTGATCCCCAGAGTCCAAAAGTTCAAGGATTCTGATTTGAATCCCAAAGTCCAAAAGGTTTAGGAAGGGAAAAAAGTGGAGCAAGCAGGCCGCATGAATCCACTAGTGACGAGCGTCCTCGCCCATCTGTGAGGTGTGTGTTTCTCTGACCACAGGGGAGGAAGCTGCAGCCCAGGGAGGCCGTGACTTGCCAGGAAGGTGGCTCGGGCCAGGCTGCACTCAAAACCCGTGCTCTGTCCACACTGCTGCGGGGCCAGAGCCAAGGAAGCTTCCACTTCTTCCCTCAGCCAGCCCCAACAGCGGCTACCCCAAGGAGCCAGCAGCCCTGTGTCCTGGGATCCCCAGTCCCTGCAGAATGGCCCACCAAGATCTGAGGTGAGCGCGGCGGGGGCAGCCAGAGGCCCTGGCCCCTGGGCCTGGGGAGAGAGTCGCTATGGTGATAGCACATCCAGGTTTCTGAAGAACAAGCTGAGTCCTGGGGAAGAGCAAGAACCCTGCTCCCCATATCACATACATACTACCTCTACTGCGGCAAATACATACACACAAGCTTCTGTGCACGTGTATATTATTGTTCAACATAGTTCGTTTGGGTTCATCTTCTCTGACTGCCAAGTTTAGTTCACAGTTCTCTTTATCGTCCCAAGTTTCTTCCTTTGTGAAAGGCCCACTGTCATCCACTCTTATCACTTCCAGGTGAATCCATCGCCAAATATTTTTTTCACAGTCTGCCTCCCGCCTGAAAGATAAGAAAAGTTTAGTGGGTTCCAAGGAGTCTGAGAAGCTTTGTTTTTTATATCTGGTCTTCCAAAGCTCCTATACCCAGCAGGGTGGGGGGCGTGTTATCTCAACTGTGGCTTGACTTTTGGCTGGAACGAGATCACCTCTAGGGCTGACCGAATTGAAGCCCTCACTGTGGGAAGTGCCTGTTCTCTTATTATGAACAATAGCGGCATTCTCCCCAGGCACGGTTTCCATAGTCCTCAGCAACCCTGGAGTGAGTTCCACGGGAATGCAGGCCCAGAGAGGCGAGGTCACAGTCGGGATGGAAACTTGGTTCTGCCTGACCTTCAGCCAGTTTGTGTGAGAACCGCACACGTGGCTCCAGGCCTGCCGAGGAGCCAGAGGGCGGGCCGGGAAGCTCGGGGCAGAGCGGTGTCCTGGTGGCGGCCCATGGGGGCAGAGCTGGGCTCCTCCCAGAAGCCCCTGCAGGTCCCAGCTCCAGGGACTTCCCTCCCGGGTTGCAGCAAGATGCCTCAGCCCTGGTGAGTGCGGCTGTCCTGTCTGGACCAGACCTGGGCCAGGGAGGCTGAAGAGCGTCTCTGGACACCTGTGGGGCTGGGGTTCCCCACTGTCTGTGCCCCTGCCCATTCCTGGCTGCATCCGCTCCCTAACCTGTCCCTCCCTCTGCCTCTTTCCTCCCCGTGTCCTAGCATCACAGCCAAACTCATCAATGGAGGTGTAGCAGGGCTCGTGGGGGTGACCTGCGTGTTCCCCATCGACTTGGCCAAGACTCGCCTGCAGAACCAGCATGGGAAAGCCATGTACAAAGGAATGTAGGTGCTGGCCGGCGAGCGTGGAGGGCAGAGGCGCCCGGAGGAGGGATGGGGCCCCCTTCCCTCCAGTCTCCAGGCAGCGCGCGTGAGCGTGGGGGCTGGGGAGCTGGTCAGCTGGGATGTGCCCGCGGGAGCAGGGCATGGAGGGGGCTGGGCGGCCTGCTGCACCCTGACTCCTACTCTGGCCTCTGCTTTCAGGATCGACTGCCTGATGAAGACGGCTCGGGCGGAGGGCTTCTTCGGCATGTACCGAGGTGGGCTTCTCAGGCCCCCTGGGAGGCTGGGCAGCAGGTGTGAGCGTAGGGGACCTGGGGAACTGGTGTTCCTTCCGTTGCTGTGGGGATGGGGCCGGGGCTGCCAGGGGGTCCTTCCTGATGAGCCTCTGTGCTCTTGGGTGGAGTCAGAGGCAGCTCTGGGTCCCGGTAAGGCTTCCGGAGACCCCCCAGAGCACACCCCCGCCCCCGCCTCACTAAGAGCAGGCGAGCCCACTCTGCCTGCCGGCCTCTCTCTGCCGGGCTAGAAGCGAAGAGAGAGAGGCTGAAAGGGACTGAGCGAAGGGGCCTGAGCGCCTGGTAAGGAGTTCCGGGTGCCTCCTCCCCAGCACGGTCCAGCGCTGCCACGGTCCCTGCGGGGCCCCCAGCCAGCAGGCCACCTTGGACAGTGGATCCAAAGCTGGAGTTGAGCAGGAGCTCATATGCTTGTGCCACAGAGAAGCGAAACACAAACCCTGGAGAGCCCGGAGCCAGCAGCCAATGGGACTGGCTTGTGCGGCACCGAGGAGCAGAACCCCAGTCCCTGCGCCTGGCGCCTGTCACTGGGAACTGCTGGTTTATCATCCGCGACCCCACCAGCAGCAACAAAAATCAAATGGCTTCCTGATAACCAGACTGAGGAGTCCGCAAGAAAAAAATACGTAAAAAGAGGAGAATGTGGAGCCGGGCGTGGTGGCTCACGCCTGTAATCCCAGCACTTTGGGAGGCCGAGGCGGGCGGATCACGAGGTCAGGAGATCGAAACACGGTGAAACCCCGTCTCTACTAAAAATACAAAAAATTAGCTGGGCGAGGTGGCGGGCGCCTGTAGTCCCAGCTACTCGGGAGGCTGAGGCAGGAGGATGGCGTGAACCCGGGAGGCAGAGCTTGCAGTGAGCTGAGATCGTGCCACCGCACTCCAGCCTGGGCGACAGAGCGAGACTCTGTCTCGGAAAAAAGAAAAAGAGAATGTGGTAGGGAGTGGAAATGGAAAGTTATTTCAGTGAAACAGGCCCAGGAGCCCCACCTGGCCCCCAAGATGCTCTTCACTCAGAGACTGGCCTGGCTAGGGCTGAGGGGCAGACCCGGGAAACTGTTATTTCTGGGATGGCCTTGACTCCCCATCTTGTCCTTCACTTCCAGGGGCTGCCGTGAACCTCACTCTGGTCACTCCGGAGAAGGCCATCAAGCTGGCGGCCAACGACTTCTTCCGGCAGCTGCTCATGGAAGATGGGTATGGCCAGGTCGAGTGGGGTTGGATCCTTCACTGTGTGTTTTTTGGGAGAGATGGCAGGAAGAAGATTTCAAATGTGCCTCATTTTACCTGCCTGCATGCATTTCAATATGTGCACCCAGGGCTGAGGGCTGCTGGAGAGTGAAGGCAGAGAACAAGCTGGTATACTTTGGAAGTGTTACAGATAATATAGAGAACATATAGAATACACCGACAAATCCATCAACTAGGCAATAAATTTTTAAAAATCAGCCACCAAGCTGGGTGCAGTGGCTCATGCCTGTAATCCCAGCACTTTAGGAGGTTGAGGAAGGAGGCCGCTTGAGCCCAGGAGGTCAAGGTTGCAGTGAGCCGCC